CTTAGCATTTGAATGGTTTGAAATAAACGCCACGTGAGTGGCCAAATTAATCCAAACAAGTGTTTCAGTGTTTCAGTGGTTTCTGGCCGCATGCACGACCGCGATTATAACCATTTCATTATAGTCTTTTGTGCGCTGGGTTTATAAATAGGCGTCGTTCTCGGCATAAAGAATACTTTCCGTAATTGGTAATTAACTTAGTGTTAGCTTGCGATATCCTCTGTAAATATTGCTTTTATTATCATCATCATCATCATTATTATTATGGGCCGGTTAATTAAAAAAGAGCTGGTTAATTCATCTCAATATCAACTCTACATTGATTGTAAAACGTCCAAGGAGCATTGAAAATAACTTTGAAAGAGCAGTGCAGAAGTTTAATTGTACTTGCACGTCGTTTCTAACTGCACTCAACATTTCTTTAAGCAGCATATGCCTTCGAAGGGGGGAAGTCTTCTCTTTTAAAATAGGATCTTTCAGACCAACGTTTCTATACCATTTCAAAGAACTGAATTGGATGATCTACACATATTTTAATGTACTTTCTCAAATCTGATATTATATTTTTTGCTCCCGTTATTGCTTTGGTTTTAATGTTAATGTACTTTAATATGAAGCTATAAGTCGGCTTGAAAAATGAATCATTTGGTCTTAAAACCATGCACTAACCCATACAAAATAGATCAACCTGCAACGAGATCTCAGTTTAAGACAATCTTGAATTTTTGTACCTACCCCTACCTGAACAGATTGCATGAGAGCTTTTTCTGTGCGAGGCTGGCTTCCCGGTTTTTGATCCGCTTCTTTCTGTAGATTATTTCAGCATAAAAGAGAGATTTGTTTGGCTTTCCAAAGTAAGAAGAAGTCTAAAGCTTGGGACACAATGGAAACAGTTAGTCATTAGGTCACAGGTTTCGCTTCTCAAGTTTCCTTAATTGCCGGCAGTTTAGTTATGTTTCCGCAGCACAAAGAAGGTAAGAGTGTTTGTTACTCCTCGCGTGAACGAATGTCAGTCCATCATTGGTACCACGCTAGATTTTCGTCAGGTTTCCCCAACAACTGGACGGTGCCAGTGTGCTGAGATGTCAGCTTAAGACAATTTTGAATTTTTGTACCTACCTAGGCCTTTACCTGTTAGGCTTTCAGGAGGGCGCATTGCCTGGAAGCCCGTCATCCCAATTTGTGACCAGCCTCTTTCTGTAGATTATTTAAAAAAAAAAGAAATTTGTTCGTCATTCCAAAGTATGAAGAAGTCTAAAGCTTGGAACACAATGGAAACTCATTAGTTTTCGTTTGCCACGGTTTTCGCCGGCGGTTTAGTCATGTTTCCGTAGCACAAAGAAGGTAAAAGTGTTTGTTACTCCTCTCGTAAACATACGTCAGTCCATCATTGGTACCACACGACATTTTCGTCAGGTTTCCCCAACAACTGGACGGTACCAGTGTGTTGAGAGAAACTGTAACATGAAGGTGTTTTGAAAGAGCACATCGTTAGTAACCCTTAAATCATTTTTATGTTGCATAGAAATTTTTAACGATCTGTTGTTATATCTTGTTGTCTTTCGTTTAATTTGTGGACTTGGGTTTGCTGCCTATTCCTGTTCAGCACTTCCCAAGTTGAATTGAGACTAAGCATTCCTACTAATAGAGATATGGCCGTGACTCCGTCAAGTTGATCAGTTACGGTGGACACCTGGCGGATTGAACAGCCGTTTTGATCTGGAGAAACTCCGAGTAGACGTGAATGCCATGGCCACGAAAGACAGTAGGTGGTCAAGGCCTCCTTAGAAAGTGCTATTTGCTTTGCTGGCATTCTGTTGCTTAAAGAATCATGTTGATTCACGACATGATGCCACGAGTATGATATTGTTAGAATTACTGATCTTCTAGCCGTGATATTGCACGAAGGACGGTAGCGAAGGACGAACATTTCAAGATTGCTAATTCCGACGTAAAGCTAGTGGAGCCAACACTGTATCTCACTTAATCTTACCAAGCTAAACTGTGGAACGAGCGTGTGAATGTATGCGTGTTGAATGTGGGTTAGGGGTTAGGGTTTGTGAGTAAAATGCAAATCAATTTTATATTAAATGTGTGTGTAGCATTATCCCAGTGGTTGAATAAATGGATTCGTTGACTGAGGTCGTCGCTTGAAAACTACATGGTGTTAGAAGTAAAGAAAAAAATCCGCATCGCCCGGTCTCTCTGACAATCTAACAATTTCAATTATGACAGATGGTCTCCGAAAACCCGAACCGTTTAGCTTGGGGGGTAATATCGCACTAAACTGGAAACATTTCGTACAGGAGGTGGAAATATTCATCGCGGCCACTCCCGGAGAAAAGGACGATTTTAAGTTAGTATTTCACTCAATCTTACCAAGCTAAATCTTTTAGTGAAATGATTTTATGTAACTAGTGACATTAACTCTAGCTTAATACAAACCACTTCCAAGAACATATGGGAAAAAATAAAATGTCCTATATGGCAATATATTTCAAAGAACTTACCGTAGAGTATTTGGTTTATCAGAACAATTTACCGTACCCAAATTCACAATTAGCCAATCAGAAGCCGCGTCTACTATCCTGATATCCTGCGATAAAAAATCCCTGACCTGATATGGTTTTGATATCTTGGTCACTTGGCCGAATTTGTGTACTGTAAATACTAATCTAGCCTTTTAGGTACGCTTCGGCGACGTATCAGGCTCGTTTGGTCTCGCCATGGTTGTCAGTTGATCATAACATGGATGTCCAATATTAAAGATGTATGCTGCAAACCAAGGCTGCATGTCTCGGTCGACCTATTAGCTGAAGTATAATGGCCGTCATGTTGCGCGACTTCGTCGTCGTGGGTGCGCGCCCATGAGCAGAACCGCTACGATCATGACTTCGTCTTGCCAAAATACGAACCAAGGCTCGACCAGACTCACCTGATATACCGCCGAAGCGTACCAAAAAGGTACGAATAGGTATAAAAATCATTATTTAGCTCTTTCTATTCATCGCGCTTGCCTCATGGCGTGCTTTACCCCGTGAATGAATCTCCTTTCCTGTCCTAGGTTAGTCTCACGAAATCGGTAATTAAACAAGCTTGGAATTTTACATTGAAACTTTAATATTAAATAAAAAACTTACCATACTGTAAATTTTACATACCTATTTTCATCTTGCGAGCAAATCTGTCAGGATTTCCCTTTTCTTTCCACTCTGGAATTTTCAAAGTACTTCTAAAGAATTCGTGAGAAAAGGCAATGGATTCTATAATATACAATTGTGATCTATACAGCGTTTCCATTGATGTGCCCAGTAGTTGTTTAAATAACAACAATACAAACACTTACAAACAAACGAAAGAAAGTTAATAACATTATCAAATGACTGAGAAAATTACTCTATCGTGATTGGCTGAGACCAAGCAAATTTAGCATTAATTCTTAATTTGCACTGCACTGTAAATTAACGCGCGTGCGTTCGCAATTTTGTTAGTATAAGTAATCATACGGTTTTTCTCGTTCAATTTGGAATTAATTTGCACGAGTGAGTTTTTCCAAAAGCTGAAATTGCACGAGCCGCTTCGACGAGTGCAATTTCAGCTTTTTGAAAAACTCACAAGTGTGAATTAATTGCAAATTGAACGAGAAAAACCGTATGATTACCTATTAATAATATAAACATGAAAAACTTTGCGTGGAGGAAGTGCCGAAAGACCTTTCTTGAAGCCATTTTTTCTCATTCGAGAAAACTTTTTTCAAAGTTTCCCCACAAAATCTTCGTCATTATTTGACGTAAAATCATTGGCTTCGAAAATTTCCTATTGTCTTTCAGCCAATCATAATCCAGAATTGCGATGTTTAATTTGCACTGATGTTATACTTTTTGCACCGGTGTTACACTTTTTGCGTTTGTGTTACACTTGAACTACACTGCTCTCAGCCAATCAGAATCGAGTAATTTTTTCATGCATATTATTAGTCACATAGTGGCTGGGGTCACATCTACGATGTAACTAAAGTTTAACCCTAAGTTAGTCTCAAGTTACGTGACGTCATACCTAACCGTAGTTAGTGCTTTCGGTCGCCTTTGCGGTCACACCACGCAGTTAACTACAGTTAGCTCTAATTAGCCTATGGATGACGTCAGAATTAAAAGAGGTTCGTGACGGCCCTTATTGTTGATCCGTGAAACGTCAACATGGTTGACCGACGTAAAGTGTGTCTAGTTTCTCTTCTTATTTCTTTTTTTCTAGCGGCAAACCGTCGGAGAAAAATGAGAAATAAGCTGAGAATTTTAACTTACGCTCGCCGCCGAAGAAGGCAATACAATTGTACAATTGGCTACACGTGTTGCTACCTTATTGTATGTAAATGTTTTGTTTGTTGTTTTTGGTTTTCCCCTCGTTTCACGCTTGGTTTTTATTTTGCAAATTTATATACACTCATCTCGCTCGTGCGAAAATAATTGTTACATTCTGAATGGTTGTCTGTATTGTCTGTATTGTTTTGGATCACTGAGGCGTAAATTTTCTAACTATAGTTAGAGCGAGCAGAAAAGCGGTCACATTACCGAAATAGCTAACTACAGTTATTCCCGTCTTAACTATAGTTAGTAGCCCAGATGTGACCGCAGCCCATAAATAAGTAATCGTATGAAAGCTCGAGCAACAATACTCGTGATATTTGAAAAATCTTCAGAGAATTTTCAAGTATTACTCGTCTTTAATTGCACTCGCATTCATACGAAAAAATGAAAAACTCGCACTCACTCTCACAACTACTACAGCTACTACAACAGAATTTTATATCAGCATCCTGCTCTGGCAAAAAAAAAAAAAAACACACGAACAGAAGGCAGTCTATTCATGCACTTCCTATAATAAATATAATATTCTAAAAGTAACAACATGTGATGCAATCAAGATAAAATCCTCCATAACATCAAATATTCCAAAAATCAGATCTGTTTCGGTCAAAGTTCCAACATAGATATTATTGTTCCGTAGCCAGGACATGTTTCCAAAACTCGGCAGATTTCGTGCAGAAGCCGAGTAAATGCTCAATGGATTCAGCTTCATCATGACAGGAAGCACAGTTTGGTGAATCAACTATACCAAGACGATATAGTCTATCTTTTGTGAACACGCTACGATTTAAAATTTGTATTGAAACTCTATGACTTTTTTCCAGTCTAATACTATGTTTGGGTACTTGGTCATTTACTTCTGCAGCTGTGAGCGGTACATGTTTTTTCTCCAAGAAGAGCCGGTAAATTTGCTCGAAAGAAATATCAAGAACTGCAAAGAATAAAGCTCGGGGAGTCGAATGTATCGCCGCGGACTCAAATAGTTCTGATAATTTACACTGAAACAAGTTGCACAAAAAATGGCAGTAAAGAGGCGACCTCTTCTGTTCAAAGTTCTTCGAAAGCAGCTTACAGGATCATCGTCACTCTACCATGCGAACAGTAATTCCCCCCTCGTTCTGCTCGGTGAGAGACGAGACGGAGCCTCTGCTCACAACCGCTCGATCGTTTGATCACAACAAGGGACGAATAAATTAAAATACT